AAGGAATGACATGACTAATATTGTGCCCCTTCACATGAGACCAATTGTTTTTACAGCTTATGGGACTTAGTGTAGAACCTTCTAATTTTATCTTTACTCTTTTGAAAGGTTGCTATAAATCTAGAGAATCTAATCAAATTGAACATGTGATCACTGTGTCCTTTTATATTTGTGCGTGTGTATTATAGACTCCTCTCTCCACCAAATATAACACATTTGCCAGAAATGTGATGAGCTAATTCTGAGCATAAATATCTAATTCTGGATGAAACATTGAAGTTTTGTTAAACTGAAAGATTGCTCCTTGTGTAGAATTGGAAGAGAACAAAAGTTTGTTCCCTCCTCTAATAGGATAGCTACATTTATAGAGAGTTTTGCTCATTTTGTTTTGTCCTGGAGAATTAGATATGGGAAAATCTCACTTTCTTTTAGATTTAGTTTTAAATAAATTATTTTATACGTACATTCAAACTAAAGTTTTCTTTCATTTAATCATTGACACAGGAAGTTCAGCAAGCTTGCTATTAATTCCTGTTTTTAAGCTTTAATATATTCTATTTTAAAAAATTAATACAAGTTGAGTTAGGACAAAGCTCCTCACCTGGCCTCAAATTTGGGCATGGTAATACATCATGGGGAAAAGGTTCCCAAAAGCCATCTATGTGCCTTATCTCACTGCTAGGAGCCTTACAAAAACAAACAAACAAACAAACAACAACAACAACAGCAAAAACAAAAAACCAAGCTACAGAACTGTCACACACATGCAGAACATTTAGGCTCGTCCCACAGAGGCTCCCTATCTGTTGTGCTGGAGTCCATAATCTCCCAGGACTTGAAGTCAGTGGTCTCTCTGGGTTCCCCCTTCATATTTCCCCAGCTCATACAGTCTTCCCTTCCTTTCTTCAGCAAGACTCCAGGAACTCAACCCAGTACTTTGTTGTGGCTATCTGGATCAGCTTCCAACACTTGATGGATAGAGTATCTTTGATGACAATTAGAGTAGTCACCAATATGATTTCAGTAGATTGCCAGTTCAGGCACCCTCTCCGTATTGCTAGGAGTCCTAGCTGGGGTTATTCTTATGGATTTTTGGGGGTTTTCTTGGTGCCAGGTTTCTCTCTAACACTAAAGTGCTCCTTATAAAGATATCTCTTTTGTTACTCTCTCCCTCTGTCCTGCCTCTTACACCCAGCCTGCCCAACCTGTTCCCTCAAGTTCTCATCCCTCCATCTTCCCTCCGCTTCCACCAGCAGTGCCCTTGGTATAATGGTATCATGTGAGCTTCTCAAATAATATTCTGTAAGATCTGCACTTTATACACGTTGTAAAACTTGTCAGCTTTGAGTGCTTCAGCTGCATCTTTATCCCAGTTCTGTGTCCTATGGTAGTTAGTGTTTGTGGTTGTGAGGGTGTATATAGCAGTCTAGAGTTCTGAGCCTGTGTCTTGTTCTAAAGGGGTTCATCTACTTCTTAACAGATCTTTTCTATGCCATTGGTTGTGAAATTCACCAAGCACTAAAATCACTTTTAATCACATTAAAATACATTTTGCTGTCATTTCACCTCCCCTAGTGATTGATCCCATAGTTCTGAGACTGGGCCCCACATTCTGAATTATTAGCACATTCACAATGATATTGATGTTGCTGGTTTGAGGTACATAATTGCAACAACAATTACTTCTGGTGATATGACTTAAAACAAAACATAACAAACAACAAGAAAAACAAACAAAACAAAAACCCAAAAATCTCCCAGCCATGTAAACAAGCCAACAGTTTGTTTTAATTAAAGCTGTTTCATCCTGTCTCTTTTGTGTCTGTGTGTTTTGTTGCATATGTGTACCTACCTATTGCAATGAATGCACAGAGATAATTTAGCTAGAGCCTGCCCAGTGCTTAATGTCTGGAAGAGAATAAAAGGATGTGGGGAACTTTTTGAGTTCATGAATATCATCAGGGTGTATCATGATTAGCTCATTCCCCTACCAGCAAACTCCTCTTGGGCTCCCTTTCTACTTTAGGAACTCTGAAGACTCCGAATAGGCTTCCTCTTCCCGTGGGCCAGCTGCATCCTCAGTTGAGACTCTGTACTCCATAAGTTATAAGAAATAAACTTGTCCTCTTATCATTATGTTTCATGATTGTATCTTTTATTTGAATAAAAATAATTTTCAATGAATCAATCCAAAAGGCTTTTAGCCATGCATTTTCAAGTAGTCTGTGATGTGTGTGTGTGTGACTCATTTCAAATAAATCATTCTCTTACATCAAATAATTTCCTAGCAAAAGAAAGAGACAATCCAAATAATTATAATGATACTGGGTATAAAGGAAATATGAGTAATACTTAGAATTTTGCAAATTGTTTTGAAGTGTTAAATTTGATGAAATTACTAATTTTCTGTTCTCAAATGTCAAGGCAGATACTGATGATTGGATATATATTTGTTTAGACTATGTTAAGGTTATTTTTCTATGATAGTTTTGCGGATTTCTCCCTGATAAATACAGCATGTTATACATAGAACTGATGTCTCTTTATCTTTTTGCCATTACCCCACTGATTATCCAGTCTTTAAAGAAAATAGCTCATTGCAGTGGATGATTACATGCCCATTGCCAGTTATCATTACAATGCCATATTGATTTCTTCTTTCCATTATGAAAATTAAAGCCACATTAGTTTAAAATGAGATTCCATATATATTGTGGATGTGAGTGGTTCTGAATCTCAGCTATTTCAAATTATACCTTCTTCAGTGATCTGATGACTATCACTGATAATCTGAGAGCTATATTGATTTTAATATGCTGATATGAGATGGACAGTATCTTAAGTTACTTTTGATTGCTGTGATAAGATACAATGATGAAGGCAACTTATGGAAGAAACAGGTTACTGTGGGGAACTACAGTTTCAGAGCATTAGAATCCATGCCCTTCATGGCAGGAATCATTTTGACAGTCTAATAGGCATGGTGCTGGAGGAGTAGCTGAGAGCTTACATCTTGATCCAGAACATGAAGCAAAGAGAGGTAACTGGGAATTTCATGAGCTTTTGAAACTCCAAAGCATGCTTCACTGTGACAGCCCTCTTCCAAAAACCCATACCTCCTTATTCTTCTCAAACAGTTCCAACAACTCAGGACCAGCGTATTAGAACATATGAGCATATGAACACCATTCTCATTAACCATCAGAGGAAATTAAAAGACTATATATGAAATATCTCAGCAGTACATGTACCACAGTGGTACAGTGCTTGCCTAGCATATATGAAGCCTAGTATTTTCTCCAAAGTGTTTTAACATTTGTTTCTGTATGTAGTAGATATTATATTGTCTATTTTACAAGCATCTGTATATTTAGTTTTGTAAAATCATTGAGAAATATAAGATTGCCTATATTTTGTGGTTACATAAGTACCAAATTTAAATTAATAAATATTTATTGTTTACAAATATGCCATATATTTATATATATGCCATTATATATATATGCCATTGTATGTAAGCTTCTCTAAAGGGGCAATGTATGATAGAGAAATGAGTGAGAAAATGTGCTGTCTTTAGGGAATTTATAGTCCAAATGAATCAGTAAAGTATATGATAAAAACTATGCTAGACAATCAAGAGACAAGATTATATGTATGGGTTTAAATGAAGAACACGTTTGTTTGAAGATTTCCAGGGGCTATAGAGATAGTTAATAGTGTAAAATAGTCATTTGAGACTTGGCGACTTTGGGAGATAATATTATACTTTCTTTCTTGGAAGAAATAATAAATAAACTAACAAAGGAAGTGTACAGAGAACTTCAGAAATGATAATTTGTCTGATTCTCTTGGCCACTGTGGTATAAATTTTTTGGCTGGAAAAGTAGATTGAAGCTTGGTGAAAATGTCAGGTTAAGGGATTATTGAGGTAATCCAGGTAGATTTTTGGACTGAAGAATTTGTTTAAATATTATCAGTTAGATTTTTTAAATGTAAAATGAACAAAAGAAAAAAATGAAGCTACACAGAACCCCACTAGGATTCTTCATCCACAGTAAGATGTAACTAGTAAATTAGTAGTAAATTAGTTTTTAGTGTAAGCAATGAAAAGCGCAGAGGATCATTTAGAGGAGTCATTGTAGAAGGAGAAGAAGAAGCATTCATAATTGGATATCTAAAGGTCTAGTATTCTTACACAACTGTGATTTAACCTTGTATTATGTGTTTAACCCCACTAACTGATTTCCTTCTATAGAGGTTCTGGAATATTCCAAACACAGTATTTAACATTTTTAGAATCAGTTTTCTGATAATAATTCTACTCGTATAATCCTGTTTATCTTTAGTGTTTTGTTTAGGTTGCACATTACCAAAAATCTTTCCCTGGTTACATATTAAATAAAAGCATCTTGGCATTTTATTTGTTTACTAATGTTTATATAATTGGTTACTTATTTATTGTCTCTCTATTTGTAATAGACTCAATGAGGATAAGAACTCAGTTGTGTTTCCATATATATATATATATATATCATGCATACTTGGTACCTTGTATATGCTCATCAGCTCTTTATGAAATGAGTAGAAAATATGAGAAGGTGAAAGACAACAGCAGGTCAAACAATTAAGCCAGTCTTTCAAGTTCGAGGGAGTCAAAGGGTAATGGTATTGCTAAGAGAATACTGAAGAGTGGACGAGGAGGTGATTTGAGGGAATGGAAATAATGGAAGATAAATTTAACTCATAAATTCTGGCTTAAGTATGTGAACTGGTGAACTATCTGATGCAGTGCAATATATGAGCGATGAAGCCATGAAAAGAGGTCAGGGATTTGGACGATGATAATCAGGGTCATCCTCAAAGAGTCAAGAAAGAGCCGAGAAAATAAAACAGACTATAATAGTGAGGCAGGATTACCATATTTGAAGACAAAAATTATAATTTTAATATCTAATGTACTAAATATTTGAAGTTGCTTATATATTCTTTTCGATTCTCAGCTGGGTTAACAACTTTGGCCATGAAGGACTTGGACTTTTACTGGATGTGCTGGAAAAGCTTCTGGACAAAAAACAGTAAGAATAAACATTTACAACCTTTCACACATAAGAAAAGATTTAAGCACAACTTAATATTTTTTTCTTATTGATTTAGGCAAGAAAATATCGACAAGAAGAATCAGTACAAACTCATTCAGTGCTTGAAAGCATTTATGAATAATAAGGTAAATAGTATTTACTCATCCTTTTGTTACAAAAGGGAAGAGCTTGCTTGACAGAGTGAAAGTAAAAAAGACATAGAACAGTGGGTATTTACTCAAGTTTTAATAATATGTTTGTAATGCAGTTCATCACAAGTTTTCTATAAGTGGTTTAAGTGTCTTTTCTTTCACACAATATTTGCTGGCATATTTTGCAATTATGCAAGCAATATTAGTTTAGCTTTCAAATTTGATGATACATTTTCCCTTTTGTGATATTATGAAGTTTTATTTATTTTTAAAGATTTGGTCATGTGTACATGTTGCTAGATGAGTTTATGTGCATAACTTTGAGGTCAGAGGGAATCAGATTCATAGAACTCAAGCTATTAGCTTGAGCTGCCTAATGTAGGTCCTGGGAATTGAACCTGGATTTTCTATACTTGGAAAACCTATAAACTCTAGTTGTATGGAAATTTAAATGTAATAAATTGAATATCATTTATAGAGAAAGAAAGAAGTTTAATTCAGTTTATTGAAAAGTAAAATTCAAGGGTAGGGTTATGGTTCAACTATTTTGATAAGAGTGTTACTTCAGTTTCAGTGATTTAACATGCGTAAAAGTAATCTTTGGAAAATAGCTTACATTTTTGTATTTTTATAATACTGTTTGTATTATACAATCTTTTGGAGACCTACAGATAAAATAACTCTGACTAATTAATTTGCTTAATTATATTAATTACCTTTAGATGGCATTTTAATAATCTCAAAATACTTAATAAAAGTAAGTATAGCAATAAGCAGGAACTTGCTAAATGTGAACTCTAGCTATTAATAACCAATGCAATAATACTGTAGGATTTAAGTAATATAAAAACTATTTCTTTGGTATATGCAATTATATATTACTATGTATATCATATACCCATATTAATCAGCAAATAATTTTATTGGTACATGCAGTACATGGTTGCTAATGAACTCCTTCATCACATATATCTTTACTGCTATTTCTAGAAGTCGATTATCTTTTTACAGTTAATTATACATGTGTATGAAGCACCAATACATTCTTCTCTCCTTCTACCATGTGTTTCCAGGGATCAAACTTTGGTGTTCAGGCATTTTATCATGTACCTTTATCCCTTGGGCTATCTTTCTCACCCATCTGGAAGTTTCTTATAGATACACTCCTATCATTACTAGTGCAGAAGAATTTTTCTTCTGTCCTTTTGGCCTTTAGATACCACACATCATGGTATCTAATGCCTAACAAAGATACACTTAATTGTACATTATTTCTCTGTAGCTCAAGGTGGATCTCTTATGCAACTGACAAAAGTAGTAACATTATAGAAAGAGAATATAATACTAAAAATCAGAGATGCAGATCACATTTTGCCACTCCTAAGCAGACTGGGCCTTTGAAAAATAACTTAGCCTCTGGCTAATCAGTCTCCTCTGTAATTTCAGCTATGGGAACTATTGTTCTACACTCTTATTGATTCATCTTGTCAAATATCATAGTTTTGTAGGATAACAACTAATTATAATTAGAATACTGACTAAAGAAAGTTATATTAGCAGGATTTCCTAGTCGGGCCTGTTCCCACAGAGGATATTTAGATACATCGACTCACTTTCTTTTGCTTATGTGTTTGGCAGTTTTGAAGAACATGATGATTTTACTTAAATTATTCTAAACTAAATGGGAGTTTTTGTTAAGCTATGTGTATGGTTTGGATATATATCCCCACCACATTAATTTATGAGTCTTTTAAATTATAGACATGTGAAACTTCCTAAAACAAACATTCTGAAGAGAAAGTACATAGTGATGTACTCATTTTTAAGTTGGAACACATTTTCCAATTCGAGGAAGGTACATTTCATCTGAAATGACTTAAATGTCCCTTAAAGTTAGAAAAGTCTGCATGTTCCTTTATTTATTAAGGCCCACCGTAAAGTAATATTTCCGAAGTTTAGTCTGGCCCCTTTCCTCTTAGAATTTAAATTAAAAACCTTCATGCAGTTCATATGTTTGGTATTTTCTTAAATGTTATCCTGTAATATTTCCCAATGAAATGTAATGCTGCCATGGAACTAACTGTAAAATGAAGCAAACTTTTAATGAGAAAGCAGAAATATACTTTATAACACAAAGTTGAAGAAAGAACAGTATCTTAACATTAATTTTTGTATTTGAATATCTACCTATTAGCATTTGTGAATGCATGTAGGTACACGCTTGGGTTCATGGCTAGAAAATAAATGAAACTGATATCGCCTTTACTCATCTGACTGTGGTATATAAGAAAACTCACATGTTATGTCTGAGTCCATGATGTTGCTGCCTAAGACATGATGTAAAAGGTCAAAAAAATAGGAGAAAGTCCACATCTTATTTTATTGAAAATAGCATATAGTATACTTGAAGCACTTCAGCCTTTTTGCCTCCTATGTTTACTTTAATTTTCGGTGCAACTATATTGGAAAAGTTAACCACAAATTTCAGACTTTCCTCAGTATATCTCATGACATAAAAAACTGCTTTAAAAAATATAGCAGTATGTTCAATATGTTCTTGTTTGTTAGAGAAATACTAATTGTTGCCATTTTTCTCCTAAATATTTTCAAATGTTTTTGAGGATTAGTGGAAATCATTTTTTATTCAAGCCACAAAATTTCCAAAGTATAGTCATTTCAAATAAAATAAAACTGAATAACTGCATTTGAGGATAATTTACATAATTATATTTATAACACCACTACAAAGGTATTCTTTTGAAAATTTTCTTTATATTGGGTTTATGCTAAATGGAAAATATGTTCCATACACAGTTCAGGTTTGTTTGTTTATTTACTTCTTTGTGTTTAGTTTGGACTGCAAAGGATTTTAGGTGATGAGAGGAGTCTTTTATTGTTGGCAAGAGCGATTGACCCCAAACAACCCAACATGATGACTGAAATAGTAAAAATACTTTCTGCTATTTGCATTGTTGGTGAAGAGAACATGTAAGTATTGATATGTTCTATTTATTTTTTTGAAAAATGACACCTGGGAAATTAGTGTCTTTTCTTCTTGATAACTTCCAGAAAAATAGTAGTAGAGCTTAGAACATTTTAAATTGACATCTTTATTATCTTCTATGTATTTTAACCTTTTTCAGATATTATGTAATCTAAATTTGTTAAAGATTAATATAAAATAAATAAATGGAATTTTGTCTCACTGAAAATAACATTAGTCAATTGCAAATACTTTATGTTCAAAAGTTATCTTGGAAAACACACAGGAAACACAGAAGACACAGTAGACACTACACAGCAGATACACACACACGTACATGCACTTGTGTGTACAATGCATGCATAGATGCTCTATGGCACATTATGCAGTTTAGTTTACTATATGAGATCTTTCAGATGATTGTGAATCACCAGTGGGCACTGTAAATTTTACAAGATCCTCTGGAAGAGCAGCCAATGCTCTTAACTGCTAACCCACCTCTATAGACTACAGTTTTGCTTGTTTATTTGAATCAACCAGATCCTTTGTAATATTGTATCATTGTATTTTATTTTATATGGTAACTTAACATGAAATGAACTTACTCAATAAAAAGAAAACATAATATAAGTTTATAGATAAATGTTTGAAACACAAACAGCTCATACAGAAAAAAATAGCATGTGGAGTGATGTGTATGTTAATTAGATCCACTTAGCTTGTCCATAACAGAGATATTTAAAAACATTATGTGTCATACTACAATACTTGAAAGTTTTGTCTATTAAAAGTAAGTGATGTGAAAAATTCAATGGTCTATATAAACATCAAGAAGTAAGAATCAAATAGAGAATGAACATCATACATTTTTTTCATTTCTGTTTTTTTTTTTTTTTGTTTTTGTCTGTAGTCTAGACAAACTTTTAGGGGCTATCACTGCTGCAGCTGAAAGAAATAACAGAGAACGATTTTCAGCAATTGTCGAAGGATTAGAAAATCACGAAGCCCTACAACTCCAGGTGGGGTCCTTTTGTCATGACTCACTTGAGTTGTATTTTGAATACTTGTATTATACCTACACCTTTTAAGCTGGAATTTATAGAATGAAATGTAAATGTATAGTTGTTTGTATTTTACAGTTTTGTTTATTTAAATTCATTTAAAATTAAGAAAATTGCTTCTTCATTATCACTAATATGACATGCATTATAGTAACTATTGGGAAATTGAAGTTTTAGCAACAATCTGGGCCAAAGGGAAACCATTTCTGTCAGTATTATCTGGCCAATTTAATAAAGTTTGTAAGCTTTTGTAGAAATGAAAGAGAATAGTCAACTATGGCGTCATAGCATGATAGTCTTTAACAGTCAGATATCTGAGTCAGGAGAGTTTCAAGGTTCTGGGGCAACAGACGACCAAGAAGCAGTTTTAAAAAAATTCGATGTTTCTCTCTTTGTGCCTTTCAAACATCAATTAGAAATCTGACTCCCCAATGCAGAGGGGATTGAATAGGATCTCTTTTGTCAGGGGTCCTGGGAAAATTCTGTAGACCCAGACTAAATGTGTTTAATTTTAAAAATGACAAAATCCATTGTTTTTAGTGATTTCAGGATATGGCTAACTTTATTAAAGGCTACTTTATCCTCAAGGGATGAGAAGTCATGTTTATTCCCCATATTTAGAGACAAGAGACATTCTGATGATGGCACATTTTATTTTGCCTACATAATTAGATTTAATTCTTGTAAGAGATGAACCTCCTAAGTGTTATATATTTCTCTATCCTGAGGATAGGCAGAATGAAATTACATCACTTGTATAAGTGGATATGGTGTGCAAGAGCCAGAATTTGATATCAATGTGCTCTTTATTTTAGATAGTGTATATACCATTTGATAATCCATGAAATATCTTTTAAAGTATTATGTCATCACTCAAAGAGAGTTTGCCTCTATATTTAATTTTTCAAGTTGTTTTATAGTGAGTATATACATGTAAAATTTCTATTTGATGGGAAACTAATGATTTTTCTTTTTTATTGTGTTTTGAAGTATTAACATTTTCTGTCACAGTTGGAAATTGTACAACAGATGAACTGGCTCATCTAAAGAGAATCTATAATATTATGAAACTGTATATAATGTTTCTTCAGATATGTAAAGATGTTTTAAAGGTATTCTCCTTCAACTATGATGAGGATATTGATGAACTTTTATCTTATATATTGCCGTTTTTAAAAGTGAGAATTTCCCCTTAGTGTTTTTCTATCTATGACAGTTTTTCATATTATTAGTTTTAGCTCCAATAAAATTTGGTATTTTCTAGGGAAAGCCTGAAATGTGTATTTTCAGATGTCTTCTCCAGTGTTGTATCTTCGTTGCTGTGTTGCCTGTGCTTGCCTGACTAGATGGCTTTCACTGGCAGACATACATATAAGCCTGTAATTTACTTCCAAAGTTTAGCAGGACTCAAGTATTTTATTTAGAGTTAAAGCTTTCATTGAATTTGGAACAATTTGACATATATGGGACAAGTTTTAACATTTGCATAGTTAAAAATATTTAAATGAAATTTTAGCCACAGTTCTGTGTTATAATTTATCTTCAGTTTAGTGATCAGGGGACTGAGTAGAGACTCACACAGCTGTTAAAGTTTAGAATCATGGTTTAAACTTTAATTTTTTGATATATTCATCTAGAATTGTATGTCCATTATAGTAACACCTCCATAAAAAAATAACATTGTCATTTTTGAGTAAAATTACTCTACAATGATTTCCCCCACTGTCTATTACCCCAGACAACGAAACACTCCTGTCATTCTCTAGCCTCCATGGTGCTGCACGAATAGAATGATTAAGTAGCAAGTGCTTAACAAGTACCATATGGAAAAATCATAGACATCTTGCTAAATATTCAAGAAATTGTTGAATACTGATTATGGATGCAAACATATGCAAACTACAATTTGAAATTTCCTATTTTAATGAGCTGCAAAATTTAGTAATTTGTTATATACAGAGCCTAGTAGTCTCCCAAGAATTGTGAAGTGGGTTATTAGGCATATTTAATGTGAATGGAAAATTATCCTGTAAAATTTATATAATATGTTCAGAATTCTGAAACTAAAAGCAAAAGTTAAAATCTCTTGTTTAAAAAACGTAATTTGTGTTCTAGCTTAACAGAATTACTTTTCTATTTTTGGTAATGTTCTGAGACCTCTTATTAGAATGTCATGAAGTAATTCTGTTAAAATACTGAACTAATTATATTTTAAACCAACAACTTCTTACAGATGTTTTCTAGCTCAGCTATGATCTGCTTTTCATTGCTTTTCAGTAGTTTGAGGAAAAGACTGGGGATAAATCACATCAACATATGTACTCTCTTCCTTGCCGTTCCATCTGTTTAGTTGTACTAGTTGGTCTCCCACACTGTATGACCTGCATTATTAAACTTAGGAGCCTTTCATCTGCCTTTTTATCTTATACCACATGTCTCTAAAAAATAATCTATAGTTATTTTCTAAAATACTTTTCAAAACTGACCTTTTATACAATCCTTAAAAAAATCTTAAATGGTACTCTACATTTCAAAATCCAAATTTTCCCCAATTGTGGATGCTTGTCACTATTCATCAACATGTACTCCTTGAAAATTTTACTTCTCTTGCTTCTCTGTTCACCATTCTTTCTGTGTGATCTCTGAATACCCTTCTTTATTCTATGTTTCTAATGCATATTTTCTCTTCTGATTTCCCAGGAACATTTCCCCTATTTTTATCACTCATCTTTACCAGTTATCATTTTGTATTCATCTACTTATATATTGATGTGTATATTCACCAACATGTGTGTGCTCATAAATATAAATGAATATTTTGTCAATGCATATTTTCAATTGCTTCCCTAGCTTAATATATAACTGTATTCTAGCAAATCTCCTGATACATGTGAAAGTCACATTTCTCTCCCTATTCAAATTCATGTCTTTGAGTACCTAACTAGGTTTATTATAGGACTCCCACAAGTAACAAATTAAAAATATCATTTGAGTGCTATGCTACATAATGTTACAAACTATTTACATATGTTATCTCATTTAAATTACACTGCAATTGGCTGGAGAGATGGCTCAGCCATTAAAGGTTAGGCTCACAACCAAAAATATAACTTATACTACAAATTTGAAAATTATAGGAGTAGTATCTGATGAGGTGATATTTGAAGTTGGGATTGAAAGATTAGAATTTCAATGATATTATGTTTTCTAATAGAGAAGCACTATTAAATTAGAATTGAGGCAAGAAGGGTTTGTAGTGTGTAAAAATAGTGGCCCCTATAGTCTGCCAGTTATTTTTAAAAAGAAAACAGAAGATAATACAGGCATACCCTTGAACTTTATTTTTATGTAGTAAGATAGGCCAATTCAAAGTAAATTGACCATTAATAATCTTTTAAGGGTAGAGAAGGTAACATGATTAATATCCAGTGAGTACATATTAAGATAGCCCATTTTCCAAGACTACAACTAGTCAGAAAGCTGTCATGTTTTTGTTGGATTTCAGGAGTTGTTGTGAGAAGTATGGTAACATGATTTGTTATATATTAATCTGTTTTCTGGTGTTTCAGAATAATGAAGAAAGTCTTGTTTTGTAATTAAAAATGGTACAAAAAAGCCTTTAACCAAATATTTTTTTAATAAAATATGATAGTTTCAGTCAGGCATACCACACGTACTTGGTATAGTTATCTTCCTGGTATATAAATTAGGATCAGAAATGAAATGAAAGTATCAAGTAAAACATTGAGCCATCATTGAAATTATCAAGTCTATCAAACTAATTTTCTACAAAGAAGCATCTGTTGGCCTTTAATAAGAACCTAACTTTCTGTTTTTCTTTTTTCTTGCATTTTCTTATTGAGAACGAATTTCTGATTTCTGTTCATGGCAGTCTAAGGACACAAGTTGGAAGGTTGGAAGACATTATTTTGCTCAGCCCATACATTCAGATCCTCAAAATGTGACCACACACTGCCATCTTACATTAGCCAATTATTCTTGTTTGAATTAGCCACATGGCTTGTTACCTTTTATCAGTGAGGAATTCTTATCTTGCTTCTTCTGCATCTGGGTGATGACTGCAGAGTGAGCCTTTCCTCTTGCCAGCATTCTCCTGTTCTGGGTGCCCTACCTATACTTCTTGCCTGGCTACTGGCCAATCAGCATTTTGTTAAACTAATACAAGTGACTAATCTTTTCAGGGCATATGACCATTGTCTTACAGCAGTCCTCCCCCGTTTCAAAACAAGAACTCTGAATCTCCATATACACCTATGGAAATTAAAATCAAAGTGTAAATGAGAGAAAGTTTTATCTTGGAACCTTTGGTTCATTTTTCTCATTTTGATATGTTTGTCTAAGCTCTTTGCATCCCATTCCTTTGTCCCTTTCAAACATAATAAGTCCAAGTTCTGTATTGTCTTTAACTATGTTTATTTTGCTGCTAATTCCTTCTCCCACCATGACCTACCATTTTCTTGTAGGTTTTTTCTGATCATTATGTAACAACTAATATACACCAAAAATTTAATAGTTAATTTCAGATCTACCTTTACTATATATATCTTGTATTACTATAGTTAGTAGTTCATGCTGGAATCTACTATGTTAACTGTTTACATCTTTCTAGGCATAGTAACTCTCTGTCATTACGCTGCTGCCAGTTTTTGTTGTTGTTGTTTTAATTTCAGGGAATTCTCCTCTTTATTTTTGACTTTGTTCTGACTTAAAAAAAAATCTTCTACCCTTTATGTTAACCCTTTAAATCCTCTTTCACAAAGTGACTGTTGTGACATGCCGTTTTGTCACATCACTGCTTAAATTCCTTCAAAGACTTTTTTATGACCTCTAGGTTTAAAATCTTGTCTTTGTGTCCCTCCTTCCCAAATGAATAAGCAAAGCACTTTGTACTCTGCTTACTGCTTTCTCTTTAACTGTATATTTCACTAGGCTTCTGCATATACTTTCTGATGTAGTCACACTACACTGTGCTTTATGAACATTTTGTGCATCTTCTTCCCTCTACCTGTTGTAGCTTTGTACATAAATCACTTCTTTATCCTAGAAATCTTTCTCCATTTCTTGACTTAATTAACTTGCACTGTATATTTGTATAGTTTTTAGTAAGTACTTAGTCTTAAACCATCTTTTTCCCTAACTCCTGCTGTGGCTAAAATAAAGAAAGACCTTGTTAATGTCAACAGAGCACTTAATAAAGTCAAATGTGTGACAATGTCAATATAATTTTAAAAGCACAATTTGTCACAGCTAATGGCAGTATGGATAATCTGTCTGAGAATGCCCTAGAGTTGGCAATTACTGTACTCCATAACTCTATGAATTGTGATCAAACAGGCAGACAAATCTTTGCAGTTTGTGAAACCTGTTAGATAAAATAAATAAAAGTTTCTCTTATTTTCACAGTTATTTTTTGAAGATGCTCATATGTATTTCATATTAATTTATTTTATATGCATTCACCCAAAAGCAAATATACATATATAGTATATGTGATATTTATTAAATGCATATGCATAAAATGTAGATAATATAAAATTTTCATATGTCAAAAACTATTAAAAACAGGCACTACTTATATTTACTGGCTTAGCGTATGAGTTATGGCCCTACCCTGAACATTTCTATTCAATGAACAAAATTTACTGACTTTCTGGTTTTGTTAACACTTTGTTTCTCATTGACTCTCTATTAAAAAAAGTGAATAAACATGGGGAATCATTTAAAATTAAAAGCAATTTTAAAAATTTTAAAAAATTAAGAATCTGGATATCTGAATTTGTGATATTTAATTCAAGTATATTTATGTTCTTTCTGGCTTGAGATAAAGATCAATTGTAGTTAACAATGCTAGGCTGGCACATTGTAATGTGTCAAAAGACTACAGTACTACAATATGAGATTCTAGTCCACTCTTTTTGGCTTATTAGCCATGTGACCTCAAGGAGATCAACTCATTTTTATGAGCTTGTTATTTTTTTACCCTTAGTTGGAAAAATTGGGCCACAGTATTGTAGCTTGTTTACTTCCTTTCCCTGAAGATGGATTATTTTAAAAGCAGAAATATTTTGTTTTGTAACAGAACTTATTGTTCTGTTACATTTTAAAGAGTTATGTTCTTGGAAGATGAACATAAAAGTTTTTAAACTTTCATTGTTTGGGAATGAGGTTTGTAATTATTTCAAGATCAGCTCTAAAGGGCCAGAACCTATGTTCATTAATATTTCCCATGCAGTGTTGTTCAATTAAATTTCCTGCAGTATTCTTTATCCATATTGTCCAACGTGGGACCTAAAAATTATATGTATTTTTCAAGCCATTGGAGTATAGCTAGTGAAGTCGAGTTCTTGATTTACTTCCTATTAATCTATTAATAAAAGATCCTGTTTTGAATAGTAGTGTTCTGTAGTGTAGTGCATTTGAACGTATACAAATATACTTGTCTACGAATGTACATTGACACTGAAACTAGAGCATTTTGGCGGCCAGCAAAAGGGAAGGAGAAGCAATTAATTTGGATGATGGGATGCTCTCTATTTGTTACTTCATAGGATGTATATGGAATGGGATATACTTCAAACCAAGCATCATTTTCTACTTTTGCTATTTTTATTTGCGTTTCATTTATATATTTGATAACTCCTTCTTGTTCTAGACATGTTGTTAAATTCATTTAATGCTTTTATAATTAATGTATAGCTATAGTGAAGATGTTCCTGGTTAACTCAACATGATGCAACAGATAAATTTTATCATCTTATAACGCTTTAAAATCTTTTCTTGAATGAATCTATTTGTGGAGTTTCTGAAGCGTTCTGGAATTGTTTTCTTTGTAGTAAAATATTATAATGTAGAAATATAATTGTGTTTTGCTTTTTACTGTGTATAAGTTATTGATTTGCTGTTGGCTTCAATTTTACCATGTGTGAAATAAATATATTAGAACATTCATCTCAGGTTTTCTATGAGAGTGACTTTAGGTAGCAAATTATGTAAAGGACCTTATACATTGTCCAGTAATTCATAAAAATTAAATAGTAGAGATGATAAGTGTTTAGTCTCTTGCATTCAAAATTTGTATTTTGTATATTGGATCCTCACAATGGCATTTCATAATAATTGAAATAATTATTTAAATAGTAATTTAAGATATTTTTGATAATTTTACTTTTTAATTCCTAAGTGATACTCAGAAAGACATAATGGCAGCATAGATGCAACAAATTACTTTTTTCTTACATTACCAGTGAATATGTCTTTAAAAGTATTTCCCTAGAAGTTTTAGTTTGCAGTTGTTATGTTACTAATGAGATACCTTATAGAATTTGATGAGCAATAAATGGCACTTTTGTTACCTCTCCTTGTTTGACTACTGACTTTAAATCATCTCCTAGTTATTTTATATGGTAGACTCTGTGTTCAACTTCTTTTTAAAATATTCAGCCATGTTTTTGTATGTTATATACAAAGTTCTTAATAGCAATGATATGTTTTTAGTAATAATATATACTATCATATTGATATTGATGTAGTCAGTAAATATAACTTTTACTATTTTTATGGCCTTAACAAACTACTTATATTTCTATAAAGATATTATTACAAGACTGATCATCCTGTTTAGAAATCTTTACTTCTAAAGTATTATTAATATATGTCATTAAACTAGAATTACTTCTGGTTAAAAGAATCCTAGCAGATGGCAACTTTTCTGCCTATTAATTTTCAATTGGGTATGTACTTTGGATTGTTCAGGCATCTCTAATTGTTACTTAAGTACACTCATTCAAGAAAATACATTAATATTATACTCCATATTTGCATATTTCTTTTCTATACCTAAATGTATAAGTGAAATTTTCTTTTTCTTTGTAGGTGGCCTGCATGCAGTTCATAAATGCACTTGTCACTTCTCCATATGATCTTGATTTTCGAATTCATTTGAGAAATGAGTTCCTCCGTTCTGGACTAAAAGCAATGCTCCCAGTAAGTTGAAAATATCTATTTATTATATTGCTAAACTTTGAACTTATTGTACCCTTCAAGCAAATGTATAATGAAAGGCAGCACAAATTTGTCCTTTTTTTATTGACTCAAATAAAAAAGACACTTTGGAATCTTTATATATAATGATAGTATTACTCTTGTTATATAAATGATGATTCATAATTCAGTTAGTGATGTGATATATCTATGTAAGTTAGATATATTTATATATATTTGCAAATTGACTTAATTTAAATATTTTCTGCTTTCCTCTTTGATACTTTAGATTGATTTCATTTATAGTCAGTATAAGTATGCATATTGAGTCTTAATTAATTCATTTGGGATATTTTGCTTAAAAATGGTATCCTCATTAGGTTGCTTTGGAACTTTTCTAAAGAGAAACAATTTCGTTTTTTGAATTGAATTTGAATGTTCTAATTAGAGTAATGTTGAACTATATTTGAATAATTTCATAGTCTGCATCATCTGTGATAACTGAGAATCCTTTATATATTCTAGAACACAGTATTTACCTTATATTTTGTTTATTATGCATAATTTCTGAAAATGTCTTTCTTTTTAAATAATGTTTTTATTCATGCTTTGAGAGTTTCCTTCCATACATTTTAATGTATTCTTTCTCTTTCTTCAACTCCTCCAATATCTTTCTACATCTCTCTACATCATGTTCTTTCTCTCTCTTTAAAACAACATCAAAACTTCCAGAAACACGGTTTGTTTTGGCTGACCATTCCTGAGCATGGGACCTGCCATGGTCTGGGGTGGATATATCCTATATTATTTCATTGATAAAACTGATTTTCCTTCTCCCAGCAGCTCTCTAGTGTGAACAGCCTCTTGGATGGGAAATGATATTCTCCTTTAACTATCACATCTCTGTTAGGTTCTGCTTCAGATCCCAGTGATTCCCCAGTATGTGAAAAATGGAAAGCATCGTATTTCTCTTACTAAAGTTTTGGGCTAAATCCTATAAGGATTCTCAGATAGATCTCTTAGAAGGTGAAATTATATATGCCTAAACATTGACTCTACCTATGAGCTGATAGTGTATATATTCCCTCAAAGAAAGAAGATTGTCAAAATCATATTGACGGTGGGTTAGTAATGTGTATTTTGAGAAGAGGCTTCTCTGGCATTTTTGCTGAAAAATAGAATCTAAACTGATGGGCCTTTTGGACACGGGATAATTTCTTTGCTTCCATACATTTCTTTATTTTTATTTTTCTTGTCATTTAGCTATCATGCTTTAGTAAGGATAAAATGGTCATACATCAGTATGTACTAGGTGTATCTTTTATATCAATTGATGCTAATTAACACCCAAATTACCTGAATATTTTCATGTAAAGCGTTAGAATATAGAGTAATAATCAACATCTTTGTGTAGCCATTGAATCTTGAATATATTAAAGATTAAGCGTAAGCCTTCCAAATGCCTCTTTTTTTATTTATCCTTATTTTTTGCATAATTCAAATAGCAGGATCTCTATTTCTCTAAAATAGAGTTTAAAAAATGAAGTGAATTAAGCATGGTTAAGGATATTGTTTAGGTTATGCCAATCAGTGATTGGTATGTACACCAAAAATTATACCTCTCTAATATAATGAAATGGTAGGGGAAATGGAATGTAGTTTATTTTAGTATATCTTAAAATAAACACAGTATTTTTGAACAGTGACAGTTTTCGAAGTAATTAGGAGAATCTTCATGACAAATCAGTTTTAAAATATTATGTCTTCATGACAAATCAATTTTAACATATTATGTCTTCATGACAAATCAGTTTTAACATATTATGTGAACACTTATTTTCATATTTGCTCTACCACTGTGGTTAGAGTTTTGGTGTTAAATGGAATGTATATTATTTGCTTTCAATAAATTTTCTTTAGTATTTTTATATAAATGAATTAATTTATTGACTTTTCAGATATATTTGCTCTTGAAATAATTTATATTGATTTATTTTTAAATTTCTGCACCTGGCCTTTGTTGAGGTACATCAGTAAATTTGCTATATGGGGGAACAACATAGTAAAAATAATGTTTTCATGAAGCAGACATATTTTATATATTTCAGAAGTCCATAGTAAGATTGAAATTTCTTTGACTATATGCTTAAGTGTGATATAATTAGGTTATGTCTGTCATATTTATTTTTACTGCGTAAAGTTTGTTTAAATCATCAAATGTTTATTTTATGAAGAATTTATGGATATATGTTTTGGCGTTTGATATTTGAAAAGAAAACCTATCAATATAATGTATGTGTCTACACATAAACATACTAACAGGGTCAGAAATTATGAATAAAGGACACTTAGGATGTTTTATATTTACATTGACTTATTTTGTTGAGTAAATTACAACTTAACCAATTACTGTTTTTCTTGAAAATATTCAGTTGAGCAGACTCTTCTATTTTTTAAAGAAAATCTGGTACTAAGTAAATGGTAGTGTTGAATTCATTTTGTTTCTAATTAGGAGAATAAGAAGAATTTCTTGCTCTGAAATGCATTTTTTGATGTTCTGGATGTGTTCTTTTGTAACTGCCTTCTATGCTCATAAAGCAACATGACCAATAAGCATTACACAATTCTATATTCCCATGACTATCTCACCCCCTTGTAAGTGGATAGTTAGATTCAAAGCGAGATCTTAGTTTAGAATAAAGTAAGTGGAAATAATTTTTGTTATGCACTTTATATGCGATTATATAGAAACACTTAAAATATATTTTACACATGTTAGAGAATTTTATTTTTATATTTTTAAATATGTTAAGATTTTGGCAAATTCTTAAGTGTGGAGATTTGAAGAACGAACATCAAAAATGCTTTGTTTCGTTTTGCTTGAGTAATCACCATTACGTCCTATTTGTCATTGTTCTACATGAATAAAAATGAAAACCAAAATAAAGAGAAGAAATGCATCCTGTTTTCTTTCGTTACCTAATTTGAAGTACACCTTGCTTGCATTTCCTTTTAGAGTTCAAGCTCAGCTCAGAACATCCTACATCATAATCCCAGTTTGTGTATCACCCTTGAGCATCCACAGTTGTGATTACCGATTTGAGTTTTCAAAGATGCAACTTAATGGACAAATATTAAAAGATATTCCAGGTGATATATATTAAGCCCAACAATCTCTAGTGTGGCATGCTTCCAAACTTTTATATTATTATTGTTATTATTATTATTTGCAAATTTGTTAGATCTTTGTAATGCATGCGTTTATGATGTATTACAAAAACAAATTTTTGATGCCCAAGTTGGTATTTTGTGATTAGGCTAAGACAAAAATGAAGGATTGGCATGGTGGCTAGCTTTAACTTGATTTTAAAAAATCTTCATACCTTTTAGCTTTAAAATCACAAAATATCATTCATAATAAACTTGTTTATACAATTTTCCAGGCCATACTTGGGACTGTTGTGCTTGAATATATCCTTGACTTTGCTTTACATTAACACAGTTCATCTATATTTGCTTCATTTTCTTGGTGCCAGAGGCACATGTGAATGTTCTAACTGCATGATTTCTTTTGTGATTTTTGATGAGTTTGTTTATTCTAAATGGCAGCATTGAATTTAGGTTGTTAGCAATTGTGGGTTTTTTGTTATAGTCTTTGTTATTGTTCCAGAAGTGATTATTAATATTTTAATGTGAATAGTCAAAAATTAGGGCCTGGAAAGACAATGTAAATATTGGTTTGATGTTCTTTCATTTGAAAACAAAATTTTAGCTACATTTACTTTCTTTTAGGAAATCAAAGCCCTGGGTCAGTATTTTAAATTGCATCTGTGTTCAAATGAATAATTCTGTTCCGTCCCTAATTAGCAAGTGTGCTATTTTTAAATTGTCATTCAGTTTCTGAATTTTGTTTCTTATATTAGGGTCTTAAAGAAAAAGAGAATGATGAGCTTGATATTCAGTTGAGAGTGTTTGAAGAGAACAAAGAAGATGACCTAAATGAATTATCCCACCGTCTCAATGACATTCGAGCTGAAATGGAATATCCTTTTCCAACAAAAAACTACTTTTATACCTCTGTTTAAAAGCAGGAATTGAGAATAATGTTTTTATATTCTTAATTGAGTTGTTGTCTGTGAACGAAGTTTTAACTGCTTATTTTTATTAGTACTCTACCATGATGCTATCCTTGATATACATTTGTGCTGAGGAATTGCTGCTTTGCCTTGATGATGTACTCAGACTATTGAAATCTGCATAGTGGCTCACTGACTTAGGGATGCACTGTGCTCAGTGGTTTTGAGTAAACAATAGCCTAAGGGTCTAAGGTAGTATATCTTATCAGTAAGAATAAGGAAAAGTTCTTGAGTTCTTATATGACAATAGCTAAGAGACATTATGTATTCATTAAACGCTACTCCACTTAATGATATAGTTCTCTGGAAATGAATGTCTTATTTCTTATCAGATATTTATGTTTCTTAATGATAGCAAAACTGTTGGATAAGATAGTGTCTGCCTCTAACTGTAAAAGTACTATAAAAGTACCGACATCAAATACAATGCATATAATCTTCCTGTGCCAAGTATTTGATGTTAAATTGTTTGAAATAAAAGATATGATTGTCATAGTTCTGCCACTTGTTTCCCACCCATTAGAATCCATACTTTTGGGTTCTATGAAGTAGGAAAATACTTAAGAAATCAAAGTAACCTCCGAGTTTTACTTTTCTACCTGTTATATTTTCTTGCCTTATTTCTTCCAGTATTATAAACTAACTAGACTGATATTTCCCTCCTTAAAACTCTCTTAGTACTTTATTTGCCTTATTTTTTTATTCTGTATGCTTCTCATCTCCTTACACAAAAAGTATTGGATAAATTTAGATACAATGAATAGAAAGGTTATTATCATAGGAAATAATTTCTACTTCAAAATTTGTAAAGACAGTCTGCAGCAACATCACTAATATAAAATATTTTTATTTTTATCAATAAAGATACATTGTTTATTTGATATCATTTGATTCATTCTCTAGACATTTAAGGTCTTTATGATACTGCAACCCAACACTCTCATGTGGGGTTTAAAATATTGCATTGTCTATTTAATTCTACTGCCCATTTAATGTTGTTTCAAGATGTTGGATTGCATCTTGTCTTTTACTTTAATTTTATGTGGGCTTTCAAGACTCTCAGTATATTTAATGTTAGTTCACTTTTGAAGTTTTTTTCTAGATTGCTAAGAGCATCAACTCTACTAGTTTTTATATCCTAAGAAAAAAGTATCGTAATGTCTGTGGAATTTTCAAAAGGTCAAATATGAACAAAATAATTTTAGGCTTATTTTATTTAGATATTTAAAATAAAACTAGTTTTGTGATCTTTTGACAGCTGAATACTTGCCTGACATCTTTTATCTGACAATAAAAATAGAATAGACTACAGACAGATTAATATAAAACATACTTTACCAATGGCTTTGCTATTTGAATTGTCCTAGGTATTATATGAAGTTGACAATATAATGGATGACTGATTATTAAAGGTGTTGACCCCCAAGCTGCCTTGAAATTTTCTTCAGACTTGTTTATCTAATTACAGGATCATTATTTTTTGCTATATATATTTAAACGCTATATCATGAAGTTGAATCCTTAGTAACAATAATGGGAAGCAAGTAGTGAATGTTTAATTTTGAAAACGAACCTCTTTTAGACATAAATGCACTATTCATCAAGAATCTTTGATGTTTTCCTTCATTCACTTTCTACTGATATGAATGAGGTCTACCATCTTCTCTATAATATGCTGAAAGACACTGCAGCTGAAAATTACTTACTATCCATTCTGCAGCACTTTCTGCTTATCAGAAATGACTATTATATAAGGTAAGGTTCATACCTGAGTTGACTGCATGTATAATTTGAATTGAAAATTAAAAGAAAGGCAACAAGGTAGTGTGGCAGAGGATATATATGTATTATATGTACATAAAATATAAGGGTTTTATGTCTTTAGGCAACATTTAAAAAATAATTCATTCATTGTAATAGGGCCAGAAAAGATAGCTGCCTGTAAGTATAGTACACACAAGCAACCAGAATATAAGTAGAAATTAACCTGTTATATATTATTGAGTCTGTAATAATTTTTTTTCTGCTTGATACTGATAACCCAGTGAAGACATTTAAACTGCTAGGATTTTTTCAATCTTCCTATTTTGACAAGTAACATTTTATTGTTTTATAGTGTTTAGTAAATGTACAATCTTTTAAGATAGGAGGATAGTTTTGTACGTATTTTAGTTTTGTCTAATGAAACTATTTTTAAAATAAGTGAATATAATGATAACCTATAGAGTTAAGTTTTAGAAAAATGACAAGGTATCTGAACTGGAAACCTATATAACAAGGTTTCTCTGTGACTGAAATTATCAGTAGGTTCATGACCATGGTCTAATATTAATGACAGTTCAAGTTCCTCTTCGTTTCCTTAAACTTTTATATGTATGCAATTATGGCATACTAGGTTCTTTGAATTCTCAAAACTTACTTGAATATTAGAAAAATAAAGGATCCAAAAATGTTAGTTGTAATAGCAACAAAAATTGACAATTCTAAATTAGCAGATAGAGCTATTTTTCTCTTTAGGCTACTCCAGTAATTGGATTGCCATCTTGGTGCTGAGGAGACAGAAACATGTTGAAACTACTAATGTATGCTTTTTAGAAACCACTATAAATAATAATATATATTATGGAGTACAGTGGCCATGATTATTCAGTTGCCTGGAATCATGAGTTGGCAGAATTATCTATTTTTCCATAAATCTTAACAAATGATAAACAATTCCCACCTGGCATCCTTTAAAAAACTTGCATGCTCGTGTGGTATATGAGTAGGTTTTCTCTCTGTGTATTTGTACAGTGTTTACATAATTTTATTCCTGTGACAACAGACAGAGGCCAGAGGTCAAATTGGTTCTCATGCTCTGTCTCTCGGCCAACGATGTCTCTCTCACTGAAGCTGGAGGACTGCTGTTAAGTTCCTGTGGTTCTTCAACACACCCGGCAATTCTGGGGTTACAGATGTGCATCACCATGCCTGCTTTTTCACTTAGGTTCTGTGCTTTTGAACTCAGGTCCTCATTCTTGCACAGCAGTGGTTTTGTCCACTGAGCTGTTTCCACAGTCCATGCCATCCTTTCATCTTAAGTGTAGTTCTGTGAGGTAGAGGTATGTGACAGTTGCTTTCATTCCACATATTGACTTGTGAGCATGCCCTCACATACAAGAGTTGTGTTTTTTCTTGGTTATCTAATTGTGGTTCAGCACATTGAGGTTGAGGATTAATACTAATCATCCCCAGATCTAATGATGAGTTATAAAATTCCTAGCCATGCAATATATATTTCTTTTCATTCTTAATTCTTGGAACACCGACATGATTAAACACAGAGAAGAGTAATTAGAATCTGTTTTTCTCTTCTTTGGGGGTTTTAAAAAGTTGACTAGCTAAATTTAGTAGTGTTTATATCATAATTTTTCTGAAGTAATACTTTTCTGTAATGCTGTTGAATTTATTAACCCATGACAATTTGTCTTCCACAAATTTTAATACAAAATGTCCCTTATTTTTATTTTTCCCGTCAGTGGTCATTTTTAAGACCAGAATTACCCTGGGAGATTACAGAGAAATGATGTGTTTTAAAACCTTTGACACATCACACAAATTGGAGCTGTACCCATGCATATTAAGTGTATATGGTTTTATAAAATAGATGTTTTTAGAAAGATGTTACATGCATAGGGCCTTTGCATTTATCTGTAACAGAAATGACTCAGCCCAGTTTTGTAAACTAGTGTGACTCTCCTGAGTAAATGCTCTGCACTGAATTCAAGACATTACTTTCCACCTAATGCCAAGAAACTCATCTTTTATTGAAAATGAGATCTTGTGGCTGTCTCGAGCCATTTCTGTGCTCATAGATATAGCAATCAGGGGGTTATTTATTTTCATTAACTTTAGAAACAATACCTTAAATAGAGTTGATCAGTATTTTGGAACACAAGCATGAATCTCTGCAAACTAGAATATTACGTCAGTACATATTTTCAGTCGATTACATCACACTCCATTTGGTCCACTAGTATTCAGACTATCTTTAAACCTTGACTATATTTTCTCTAAAGGAGTGTAAATATTAGTGGAACCATTTTCTTAGTGGTGCAAGAAAAAACTGAGTTATTTTAGCATTCTCAATCCCGTTGTAAGAGCATTAATTCATGCAAGTAGAAAGGTATTCTCAAATATTCTCTCTCCTTTTTTTCAGGCCACAGTATTATAAAATAATTGAGGAGTGTGTTTCACAAATAGTGCTGCACTGCAGTGGCATGGACCCGGACTTCAAGTACAGGCAAAGATTAGACATTGATTTGACTCACCTGATAGGTATGGATTATACTTTTAACTGCCATTCATGGTTCACACCTTCTGTATACTGAGCACTTTTAAAGGGTAGGTCTCTCAGTGAACTTCTATTAAAATCTCGTAAATCATTGCTGCTCTGGCTACTCAACTGTTATAATTATTAGTTTTGAATTATTATAAGAACTCTAAGTTCGGATATATCTTTTTGATAAATTTCAGCACTACCGTGTTTGTTGACAATCAGTTGTCATGACGCCCCAAATCCATGGTTTTTTAAATAGGGGTATGTCTTGCTTTTTAGAAGCATGACTCTAGTATACTTTAATTCAGTTCATCGCCACAGAAAGATTGTGAGAATTGTGTGTGTAGTAGAGCCTCAGTATTATAGACATGTTGCTACTGGCTCTCAGATTTTAAAAAAGAAATGTCATGATAAGGAAATTACCTTATATACTTAAAGAATGCCAGATAGAATTACTTTTGTTAACAGTCTGATCAGTAACAATCAGCTTCCCTTTTGCAATATGCTATTTTTTATCACTCTGTAGTAGGGATTTCTATTTATAAGCTAATCAAAACTACCATTGCCTAGGTTGAAGCATGAAGTTGCTTATTTTTAATGAAAAAAGGTGTTGAATACCATCTATATAATATTTTCACTCCATTACAGAGGATAGATTCACAAACTAGTCAGAGATTGAGCATCATTTCTCATATATTATTTTCCATTTCTAAAGGTAATCCATACTGTAGGCAATTGGAAATTTATGTAAATGACAAACATCAATTACATCAAGACCACTCCCTTTTCAATGAGTCAATTTTAAAATAGCTTTTATCTTTGCGTGTGTATCTCTGTCAATGTCTCTGAGCTGAATTTTCATAGAGGATTGTGAAGGTTTGACCATGCTTATGTTCAAATTGGGACTGTGTTACTACATGCCATATTATGATCTATCATTCCTGCAGGACAATTCTTTTTTTTTTTTTTGAAAAAAAAAATTTTTTTTATTGAGAATAGGAAAAAAAAGTTTCCGCCTCCTCCCAGCCTCCCATTTCCCTCCCCCTCCCCCCACTCTTCTCCCCCTCCCCCCACTCCTCTCCCCCTCCCTCTCCAATCCAAAGAGCAGTCAGGGTTCCCTGCCCTGTGAAAAGTCCGAGGTCCTCCCCCCTCCGTCCATGTCTAGGAAGGTGAACATCCAGACTGGCTAGGCTCCCACCAAGCCGGAACATGAAGTAGGATCAAAACCCCTTGCCATTGACCTTGGCTTCTCATCAGTCCTCATCGTTCGCCATGATCAGAGAGTCCGGTTTTATCCCATGCTTTTTCAGTCACAGCCCATCTGGCCTTGGTGAGCTCCCAATAGATCAGCCCCACTGTCTCAGTGGGTGGGTGCACCCCCCGTGATCCTGACATCCTTCCTCGTGTTCTCCCTCCATCTGCTCCTCATTGGGACCTTGGGAGCTCAGTCCAGTGCTCCAGTGTGGGTCTCTGTCTCTATCTCCATCCATCACCAGATGAAGATTCTATGGTGATATGAAAGATATTCGTCAGTATTGCTATAGGATAGGGTCATTTCAGGTTCCCTATCCCCAGCTTCCCAAGGAACTAACTGGGGACATCGCCTTGGGCTCCTGGGAGCCACTCTAGGTTCAAGTCTCTTGCCAACACTAAGGTGGTTCCCTTAACTAAGATATGAGCTTCCCCTGCAGGACAATTCTGTATTCTGTCAATAATGTTTTCTGGGCCATTCCTAACATGAGGCCTGCTTTTTGGGGTTTCTGTCCTGCCCATACATGCCGGCAAAATACCCATATACCTAAAGTAATTTGAAAAATCTATAAAATCTATTTTTATACATTTAAGAGGAAAAATTACTTAAATTTTTATATGCAAGCTAATCAGTATATATAACTAGTAAATATATTTATTTAAAGTAAGTATATTTATTCTTAAAAATATAAATGAATATATACAGGTATTAATACTTGTGTATTTAAAACCATCATTGTGTTCAAAATCATAAACTGTATTACTCCTGAAAGTTTCTGCTGTATTCTCCTTCTTCCACCTTACTCTACTTATATACTGGGTGGTCGCTAAAAATAGACACACCCTCTAATATGTCTTATACTGACTTTTATTTAGCTTAATTATTCTCTCCAGTTTCCTTTTCTAAAATCTTACGTAAGTAGTGTCATGTAGCACATGTTCTCTCTGTCTGTCTCCTTTCATTAATCATAATAATTTTGAAATTATCCATGTTATAATTCATATTCCTTCCTATTGTGAAGTAATATTCATATATGAATATAACACAATTTGTATTTCTTGGTGTCCAGTTGAGTTCTTTCCAGTATTTACCTATTGTAATAAAGCTGTTTTACATAATTTATAAAATTGTGCAATTCAGACATGTTTTATTTTCCTATGGAGAAATATTTGGGTAACACACAAAGATACAATATGGGACTAAAGAGGATTTTCTGTTATATTTATTAACTAGACTTTAATGATTTTGAATTTTCTTCCCTTTGTACAACATACATTTTGTTCAGATCAGAATTCAAGTAAAAGAGTTTACTGGAAAATCTGAATTTGTGAATGTTACTGCTTCTTGCTCCCCCAGCATTTTGAGTTTTCATTATCTTGAACATGGATTCTTTCCCTCCACTCTCTATATAATAGTGTGCAATTTTAGAAAGAATTCTATAGTGGTAAAATTGGAATTATAATTAACAATTATCATTGCATGGAAAATTTATAAAAAAAGATATTTATGGATGCTGAGGTTTTTGCTTTAATACTTAAGAAGGAAAATATGGTATTAATATGTGCATTGTAGTTTAGATTAGTTTCCTTTTTAATGACAAATCATGTTAGAATTTCAGAATCATATACTCTCAGCCATAATTAACTGGATATTCCATCCCATATGTTTCTAATCAACTTTGCTTCATCTGAATAGATGCTTGTGTAAACAAGGCAAAAGTTGAAGAAAGTGAACAAAAAGCAATGGAATTTTCAAAGAAGGTAAGACTGACAAAATAGTAATCTTGATTTTTAAATTGATAATTTAACCATAATAGATAATTATTTAACCATAAGCACATTTGTTTCTTTATTTGACACTTCATATCTTTTGCTTTCAATTATGTACTACTAGAATCAAACGTTGTATTGTAGTGATTTATTTCATAATAAGATATGATATTTACCATTTCCTTCCCATCCACCTAATTCATTAGGTTAAAAAAAAATATTAACCTTATTCTAGTTAATGATAAATGAAATAAAAAATACTTAGCTGAAAGGAGACATAGTTAAAATCAAACAACCAAAACAAATTTCTTCATTGCATTTCTTTAGCTTTCACTTATATCACACAGTTCCATAGGAAACTGGGAGAATTTTAGTTTCCTTTTAGAGCTTTTTTAGAGCCTTTTGAACTCGTGATGAAATTTGGTGGTTAGAATGTTCTTCTAGCATGGGCAAGGTCCTGATTTTGATCCACAACACAAAAAGCTTATTGGAATTGATAGAAGTCTAATGTTGGGATTCATTCTCTTTTCCTGTCACCTCATTTCTTTCTTTAGACTTCTTGGAATTTTGTAATTGCCATTTATTAAATTATGTTGTTACTTTGTTTAGGCTTCCTGGAACTTGATATTTTTTCTTTATTCTTTGCTTATATGTGGCTTTGAATAAGTACGATCTTTATGATATTGTAATTTCATTCATACATAAGATGGACTTTTTCTTATTTGATGAAAGCCTACATACAGTTTTATCAGTGTTTAATATAATTATCAAATTATCAAGTGTTCTTCCTTCTCCCGCTCTACCCTTCTTTCTTTTCTCCCTCCTTTACCTCATGTGTTTTTTTTTTTTTTTTTTTGTAGTTTTGGAAATTTAGTTCTATTATAATAAATTTTTACCAGCCCCTATAAGGTATTTTCAAGTAGACAGAAATGAATAAAAGCATAGCTAAGTAGTATTTCAGCGTTTGAAATAAAAAAAACTTGCCGTGACATTTTTTTTATCCAACCGGAATAACATTCTGTAATATCTAAAGGTCATGTTTAATATGGGATGAATATTTACTAACAGGAAATGTTCTGCTACGTCAGTTCCTACTCTTTATAGTTAGTTCTGGATAGTAACATATATCATTTTTATAAACAGAAATAACATTGTTGGAATAATCTTAGGACATATATAATGACTAAAGTTTACATTGAAAATACAAAGTAAATGGCATGCTCTAGAGTGAGACCTATACAGCATTTTCTATGAATGTATGTAGCCCAGTGTATGTCTGCTTAGAGTAAGGACTGAGGTAAAATCTAAAAGATGATGCAGGAAATGTACATGTCCATTTGGAGAGTTGGTATCTTTAGTACCCCATATTTTCAGTTCTCACCCCCCTTCTCTATTTTTCTCTCCTCCTTTTGTATCTGTGTAAGCAATTGTTTATTTATTTTGGTATGTGTCTCTGTGTTTGCATGCATGCATGAGTGTGTGTGTGTGTGTGTGTGTGTGTGTGTGTGTATACTGACACGTGTCTGCTCATGGGGAGAAGTCATAGAACGACCTTCAAGATTCCGTTTTCTCCTTCCATTATATAGGGTTCAAGGATCAAACTCAGGTTATTATGCTTTTGTGCAAGCACCTCTGCCCTCTGAACTGTATTTCCTTCCCTTGTTTTCCTCTCTTGAGGTGTTTATAGAGGGTTTTTGTTAACCAGCTGATAGACAATAGAATTTCAGTGTATATTATTGTAATGTCAGATTTTGTGAAGCTCTGCGTTTTGAATTCTAAGCAATGAAGATTATAACAGAAATATTCCCCCAATCCATTTTATGTTATTGTACATACTTCCAATCATTGTAAAAATGTAATCATTACAAGATTAAATATGATGAAGAGTTTGTAAATGATTTCCATATTTTTATATTTTACTTTCTAATTAAGCTTAAAGAAATAAGACAAATAATCAATAAACAATATTAATTCTACAATTGAATTTTCTTTAACAATAAACTTTCCATACATGTGAACAGAGACTTCACAGTCCACTCATTTTTTTCCATTACTTTTTTTTAACAAAGAGAATTTTCCCTATGTGACTGCTTAGTTTTCAGGAGAATAATCAAGAACTTTATCTCTCTGAGTGATCTGTAAATTCAGACAAGAAAAAAAGCCATGCTTCATATTTACTACATAATGTTGTTTAAATCTTTCTCAAATATGTATTAGTAACTGCACATTTATGATGATGGTCATTGTAGTTTGATGAAGAATTCACAGCTCGTCAGGAAGCTCAAGCGGAGCTTCAGAAAAGAGATGAAAAAATCAAAGAACTGGAAACAGAAATCCAGCAGCTTAGAACCCAGGTAATGAAACAAAATGGAGACTTTAGTCACAATGAATTTGGGGGTAGAAAGTTATCTCGTTAGTCAGAAGGAAAAATGTGATGGGAAACAGACATTATGGTTGTTGTTAAAAGTTTCACATTTTAGTTGAAATAAGTATAGATTTGATTTTTCCAGGACAGTAAATCATTTTAATGTTTGGAAATAAATAAGGCTTCATTTGCTCAAACTGCCCTGAATATATTTTAACAGAATACATTACCCAAGCCAAACTGTTTATGACATGAAATTTTCATGATGATTTGCAAAATTGTGTGCATAGTATTTTCTTTCAAAAAGAATATAGAAATGCTCATGAATTTTAATTAGCCAAAAAGACTTCTTGAAATCTTTAAATCTAGACTACCTTCAATTCAAAACCTATACACTTTATTTTTCTTGACATTCTCTTGCACAAACAGTTCTTAATAATATGTCTAAAAAAATAATATGTCTAAACTTTAAAGTTAACTATATTCTTAGCACATTTTGTGGCTTAAATGAATAATATGAAATTGAAGAAGATGCCTTTAAATAGATAATGTGCAGTAGGTGATCGACTGTTATGTCTATCCCCAACAGTATACTGAAAAATTACTTCCAAAGTCACTGGTAAGCTCGAAAGGTTTCCACCCACAGCCCAAATCTTTGTTTCTTCTTTCAGTATTGTCCTACTTCCCTTTCCATCTGTCTGAGAACTTGATTTCTCTGATTTTCTCATTCCCCAATTGTGAGATATCTCTGTGTTCTCTCTGCCCTTGGCATTTTTCTCTGCTTTGTTTTTCCTAGCATAAATGTCCCACTCAGTTTCATATGTTCATATATCACCTTTTAGTAGGTGTCAAAACTTTTGAGGCTGTCTTCCATTTCCAGCTGTCCCTGTAGGCATGTCTTTTGTATTGAAATCAAACTCAATATTTTTTGATTTTTCTCTTTCTTTAAACCAGCTTAGTCTCCATTTTGACCTGTTTTAAAATGCATCACTTTCTTTAATACTGAAGTTTGATTTATTTCTTGCCCTGTTTCTGATATAGTTCTTCTTTTATTTAAATTATTCCAGTGATTTTTTTTCTCCTCTTCGTTAAAACCCCAGTCCCTTCACGTCTTGCTGAATTATTATAGTTGTCTCCTTATTTTCCTTCCTGCCTATAGTCTTTTCCTCCTCGAGTTCATCCTTTTATGTCAATAAATCCTCACAAAACATTGTCCTAATTATTATAACTGAAGGGTTTATTGTGTACAGTGTCCGCCTGTTGTATCTGGGATTAAACAAAATCTCCTTACCAAGAATATTAAAAGCCTTCTGGCCTAGGCTGCCTCATACTTACTCCCTTTGCAGCTTAGACTCTGACTGCTCTCCTAGCTAAAACAGCCTTTATTGCTGTGAAATTTTCCTTCCTTTCATCAGGTCTCTAATGTACTGACTTCAGACTTTTTATTCTGTCAACTTTCCCACACATTACTTAGAGTTTTTTTTAATGATTTTTTTTCACAAAGAAAATATTCCATAGTTCACTAAATTTAATAAACATGAAATTCTCAGAGAGTTGCCAGACATGTTAGCATATTAAATACATTGAAGAAGCCTCTCTAATCTTGTGCCCTTCCCTGACTCATTTGACCACAGTAGCTTCTGTTGGTTTCATTTTTACTTTTGAGACAGGTTCTCATTTTGTATCCCTGGTGAGGGTGGTGCTCTTTGTGCAGTCCAGACTGGCATTGAACGCACAGAAAGCCATCTGCATCTGCCTCCCAAGTGCTGGGGTTAAAGGTATCTACCACCATTCCTGACTGACTACAGTCCGTTCTGTGATTGTTTTCTGCCTGTTACAAAAGCTATCTCTTGCTAGCATTCATCTACTCATAGATGCTGGTGAATTCCCCTGACCCCTTTCTTTCCTTCTTGTGCTATATATTGTTTTTCTTTTGAGGCTCTCTGACTACCTGGCCCAGGCTAGTCTGAAACTTTCTATATAGTCCAGATTGTGCCAACATGCCCTGGTCAACTCTCTCAGCTACATTACTACATTATATCTCAGTTTGATTATTTAACTTCTAATTATTCAATGAGGGAAAAGTAGCTAATATGTTTTGATACTGCAAGGCTACAAACTTGAAGAATATATATATATATATATATATATATATATATATATATATTTACTTGAATTAAAATTCTATACATTTGTTTTCTTTTTCAGGTACATTCACATGGTGGGCAACACTCCCCCTAAACTATACCTTCACCCTTAATTCCTTTAAGGAATTTGTGGTTTTGGTATTCTAATAGATTATATATAATAGAGGAAAAAATTCCACTGGTGTTTAAAATGTTCATTGAATAATTGTTTTTCTTATTTGCATTAATTTTAATTTTTATAATTAATTTCTATAAATTTTAAAAATTTGCTGTCTTTCAGTGAAAAGATGAAACATAGAAATTTACCTTTCAAATATTTAAAAACAAATTATCCAAAGTTTTTGGAATAAATAACAAATTTTCTGAAATTGATTTTTTTCTAATAATTTAATTAGTCTTACAAGAGTAAAAAAAAAAAACAGGCTTTTACAGGTTTGTATATTTTCTCATGACTTCAGTAAAGGATTTCATTCCAGGAGAGGCAGCCATTTTAAGTATATGAAGATATTTTGATATATCTATATATGAGTATATACAAACATGAATACTTATACATATAAATAAAATTTGATCAAAAGTAGTGAATGCTATATAGAACATATTTCCACAATTATATCTAACTATAAACTAACCCTTTTAAAATATTTTATAAATAATAATGTTACTTAATTTTTTTTATCCAAATTGCATTTAATTTTTTTTTCTGAAAGACACTTCAAAGTTTAACTGGGACAATGAAATATTCCAAGAAGAAATTTTATATTAACCAAGATAAAAGTTCTTCCTGATTAAAAAAAAAAACATTATGCCATGAAACTTCAATTAGTGAATTTTAATATTTTGATTACAAAAAGGTCTGTTAAGTGCTACTAATTTTTTTGAAATATTTTCCATTGGGAAAGGGAACCATTGTGATTAGTAAGTAACGTTTTAAAGTTTATTTGATCCTTTGAATATAATATGGAATTCAGTGTTATCTATCTTTCTTTAACTGCCAGTCATGAAGAAACTTGAAGTTACTTTCTGACAGTTAATTGTTTGGAGTATGCATTGTATATCAGAAGTCTTTATTTATAGGTTCTGATAAAGTATATAATCAGGAAAATTTAGAAAGGTATAAATAGTCTTAAACCCTGTACACCCAACAGATGTGTGTAATTTGTATTATATGCTCTTATAAGCATTTCAACTTATTTCTGTTTCAGGGAGCTTCATCTGAGATCCCAGGCCCACCTCCACCACCTCCACTGCCAGGTGCTGGACCATGCCCACCACCTCCTCCTCCACCACCACCTCCACTTCCTGGAGTAGCTCCTCCTCCTCCACCACCTTTACCTGGTATGCCTGGTATTCCACCACCACCACCTCCCCTTTTGCTTGGAGGACCTCCTCCACCACCACCCCCTGGAGGAATTCTTCCTCCCCTACCAGGAGCAATTGAGCTACCATATGGAATGAAGCAGAAAAAAGTATATAAACCAGAAGTATCCATGAAGAGAATCAACTGGTCCAAGGTAAGACTTGAGGGATCCTTGTACATGACTGGCAATGTGTGAGAAATGCATTACTGTGAGTCACCATCAAATGCTGTTTAAGATTGTGATTATTGGCATTATTGCTTTCCTCTGTGGCCTTAACAAATTATATTCATCTTTCAATGTATGACCTAGATAACTAGGAGCTTACCAACAGCTTTGAAATTATGGTACAGAAAAAGAAAAACCAAATTGAAAAACCTATAAAATGTATAATGAAATGAAACTAATTTCATACTTTTTTATCATTGTAAATATTAAGGATTGTCACATTTTCTGTTAAGATACTGTTGTATTTGATATTTTTGGCCTTAGAGAATAATAAGTATTTTCATTCTAAACTTTTATAAAAGTGTCATAAAACTGCAGGGGTGGAAGGCTCAAACAAACAGGTGGACAAAAGGGTTTAGGGAAGTGGGAGTGGGAATAATATATACAATGTACATGCACTAAAATTTCACAATAAAATCAAATACTTGGTATATCAAATATTTCAAAAAACTAGGAACAAAGATAATGTATGCAATTATTTTGAGGGTCTTTTCAGTCAACACTTTCAAATGTATTTTATTATATTGCTTTTTTATTTACATTGCTTTTGTATAGCTTTACTGTACAGTGGCAGAATTGTTTTTCTCTGAATATTTATGAGTGTAATTTTGTATACTTGAAATACATTTTGTGGATTATAAACAAAGGAAAGTCAGTTTTTGAAAAATTAAAAAGTAACTGCATGAAAACATGTCCTTGTTATTTTGTCTTAGATTGAGCCTAAAGAATTATCTGAAAACTGTTTCTGGCTAAAAGTAAAAGAAGAAAAGTTTGAGAATCCAGACCTATTTGCAAAATTGTCCTTGACATTCACTTCCCAGAAAAAAGGTATCTTTTATTTTTACATATTATTAATTCCTGTTCCTCATGTATTGGAATTCATTTCTCTGCTAAAATGTTCCAAGGATGTGTGAATGTTTTGTTTTCTCACACTAAGTATGGTCAAACATAAATATATTCATGTACTATGTACATTTTACTCTGTAGCCACAGGAAAATGTTCTCATTTGAATTTTGTTTTGCATGAATACTATTATTTAACTTAAAGTATAGACTTTATCTTTATTTTTAATAAGTTTGCTATATCTCATAAAACTGATTTACCATGTATCACAAAATTACATCATGGAATACTAATGCCTCTGAACTATATGGATGATATTGGAGTAATTCTATATATATCATTTATCTACATCACTTCTTAGGAATCCTCATAGTTTTTCTTATGAGCATATGCTCTGAAATAATATCCAAATTGGATCCTCAGCAAATATGATTGTGGTTATGGATTTGATAAATGTATATCTTTTTATGATGATACCCTTCGCATTTTAAGTGCAATTCAGTAATATGTAAGTCTCACAATTAGTCATTGTGGTCAATGGAGATTTCATATTCTATCTGAACATATTGATTTTAGTATCTCAGTTAAATATAGACATTGTACTAGTAAATCAGTTTTTCCAACTAATAAATGAAAATAGTCTGTCCTTTCTTCAAGATGAGTGCTTTGTTTTTCAAGATGAGTGTTTGTCATCTGATTTTTTACTTTGTTAATTTGGAGTAGAATGTAGGAGAGAGTTATAGAGAGATAGAGAGAAGAGTAAGAAAAGTAAGAGAGAGGAAGGGAGAGAGGAAAGGATGGGGGGAGACTGATCTGTGGTGATTAGAGAGTTCTGAATATCTTTGACATTGAAAAAAGTGTTAGTAGTTTTACTTTTTATTATTTGCTAGAGTTGTATTCACATTTAAAATTTCTCCAATGAGTTGGCCTATTACTATTTATCATAATTCTCTTTAGTACTAAATATTCATGTTATTAAGAAATTACCCAAGTAAGTACTTGGTTTTGAGAAAACAACAACAACAACAAAAAACGATGGCAGGAAGCAGAAATATAGATTACACTTCCATTCTATACTCAGACCACTGGAGAAGAGAATATTATTACTATTTTTTTTACATTATGATCTAGACTAGCTATTTGTTGAGAAACATTTTAAAAACATTTTCCATTGCTATTTCTTTCTATCTTCAGTATTGTACATTGGTATTATTCTGCATTTATCAATTGTGTTCTTTTTATATAGTGTATATAATTATGTGTTGTGGGTCTGTGTTAGTATATTTAATTATTCCCTTAGCATCATGCACTGTTTTCCTGCTACAAAAATGAAGTAGCAAATGTGTTTCTGTGTGTGGTTTTGGGTGGGATGGGCTGTAGTGCAAATTAGAGAAATATATTATACAATTAATAATTTGAAACATATCAAAAATCTGCCTTCAAGTATTTATCAGTTTAAAGTGTTACCAAGAATGCATATGAATTCATGTTGCATCCGTAATCAAAGTCAATAGTGTTGCAGAATCTGGAACTTTGACCACCAGTAATATACAATATTATACAAGAAATCCCGCATCTTATGCCATGAGATTGGTTGTTGTGAAAACACAGGAAGTCTAACAAGAGTGTAGAGGGAAGAGAAAGGGGAAGAAAACAGGTATGATCAGAAAAATGACCAATGTGCATTATATAATTGTATGAAAAGTCATACAAAACCCAGCAATATATAGAATGAATATTTCCCAATTAAAACAGAGATGCAGTAATAAGTATTGGATGGATCTATCTTCAGGCTATGTATATATGGAACATAAGCAAATTTCTTGTTTAGACTCATATTCTGTTCTCAAGATGTCTTATTTCATACAAGTAAATATTCTACAATCTGAAAACAAAATCCAATAGCTGAAACACTTCTGATATTAAGTATTTTGGATAATTGGATACTCAATCTGTGTCTTTTTCTCTGAAACTTTTGCCCATATTTCAGGTAAAAATGTTAAATGTTTAGGAAAATTTTTTTTTTTTTTGCTTTTGTTCAGGTGATGAAAAAGAAAGTTCTCCATAGTCTGGGCTACTCTGTAGCCCAAGATGGTCTTAGATAATGTCATTCATTTTTCAACCTCCAGAGTGGTAGTATTTCAGGCATGAGATACCATAGTTGGTTACTTTTCTGTTTTGCATGCTGTCGAACAGCTTTTTTTTTCTGTTAACAAGCAGTTTTTAACTTTTTTTCTGTGATTTTTTTCCTTGCTTTGATTTTCTCACTCTGTTAAACATTTGCTGTTTTATAAATTGCAGTTACCCTACTCCATACAAATGATTAAGTAAGCCTGAATTCTTTATTTTTTAAATGCAGAAAGTAAGATTAGAGACAGAAGGATAAATCGTAAGGGATATTGGGGTGTATGCAGCATTGCGTGTGTGAATTTGTTAAAGTGAACCCATTACTATCGTGAGCATTGCAAAAGTGCAACCTACTTGAAAAAGGGTATTTAAACTGAGTCACATCTACTTTCATCAATTGGTTTACATACCAATTCCACTGACTGAATTACCTCATCTGTAGTGTGAATAGACTAATGTTTAACCAGGTAGGAAAATGAGATCAGGTTATATACACTTAAGTAGCTGACAATACTCACTGTTTGGTATCTAATCTAACACAATAAATGTTCATTTGTTTTTCTCGTTTGATCATCTGATGTTGAGTAAGTTTGTGTTGTGTTTTACTTACTGACAATTACTACACAAGTTTGATTGGAAAGAGAATTTCCTTTTCTTCCTTGTGGTGTTCACTAGAGCTAATCAGTTACAAAAGAAGGAATTCCTAATGCTCCTGCCAAAATGTAATCAAACCATAGTGAAACCAAACCAAATTATTCAAATCATGTACTCACTGCTCTGAATGCTGCCTCTCCATTCCCCTCAAGTTTAATTCTTCAAATTTCTGTGTGGCATTACTCCTATTTTGCTAATTTTGAATGTTTAAGTACATAGAAGGAAAGTGGAACCCTTTAGTATCCCTGATTTATTTCTGAAGGGACATTTCAGGATCACTGACATATCAAAGAACATATTGTGTGTGTATGCAATAGACCAAACAAGTTTTAGTGACACAACACATGCTTTAATTAACACTCTTAAGAACTGATTCTCTCCCTGTAGCAGCTGAAGTTCTTTGATGCTCACAGTGCCTAGATTCATGATTTGGTCAATAGATGGCAGGCTTAGTAAGTAATCAGCAGGAGGGTCTGGCTCCTGCAAACTTAAGCTGTCCTGCCCTGGCTCTTATAGCTTTAGGGCACTGCTTTCTTCTCCATTCTGCTGCTCGTTGCAGCTCAATCAGCACCATTCTGGAATGAGCCACCAAGCTCTTGTTTCTAAGGCCTAATTCCAAGGCTGTTAGACTCAGTGTTCCAAAACCTTATGAGAACTACCCCCTACTGCAAGGCTGTAGGAGAGCTCATGTCTCCATTCTCACTAAATGCACTATAAAGCATTACTAGTCTATGTTGTCAAGCGGATGTTTAAAATTTTAAAGTAGCTTAGACTTGCTAAATAGAAAGGAGCTTTCAAATGTACCAGTTTTAATACCTATAATATTTAGATTTGTAAATATTTAATGTGTGAAAAGTTCCATGAAATTATATGTTCTGTATGAATTACTTATTCTTAGAGTTTTAGAGAAAATCATTTTTAACATTTCACTCCAAAGCAATTTACTTCTTTTTTAGGGGTGGGTTTATCTCTCATTTCTTTTGACTAGTTTGTAAAACACCTAGTATGTGCATGGGGAAGAACTGGTTAATGTCTTCTTCCTGCACCAGATAACTCATAATCTATTGACTAAGGTTGGAAGCTTTCCATATTTAGTCAAATTATAGTAAATGTCGGAATAGACTTTTTTATTTCAAAAACTGGGAAGCATAGAATATAGCTAATTTATAACTGGAAATCATAAAGAACTCAGAGGTGGTGGTATGAGCATTTGAGTAGTTTCAATAGGGCTTAAAGATGCAAAGAGTCTTTTCGGGTAGGGAACAGCATTAGCAAAGTATGAAAAATTTTTACGAGTGAAATTTAACCTAATTTATTTGAGCAAAGAACTGCCCATGAATTTTGTAGTGCCCAGGGTCAGAAGGGATTCATATGAACAGCAAGCTTTTTTTATGCTAAGTATGGAAACAGAAACAGAAATCAGCAGGCTTGTTGGAGTTAGGCATTTGCTTCATTTGAGCATTCTCTGATTAAAACTTGAGTCTCTGTGACTGGTGGAAATTCAGCTGGTTATTACAAAAACTACATATACTAAATTAGGTTGAACTGGAAGTTTCGAGCCAGCGCCAAGCCTATGGTCTCCTATTAACTGAACAGTGGGGAGAAGAGAAGCCATACTGTGCTGAAAGCACATGCAGCAGCTGCTGGCGTTGGAGTGAGGAGACTTGGTGAGAAGTGCAGAGTGAAGAACATTGTGTTGCTCTTTTCATATGCGTGTGAACATAGCCACTGGCTGTAAGACTTGTCTCTAGGTCTGAACATTTGACCTCCTCGAGAGAATCTGATGAAATACAGAAAGTACAAAATTAGTTTATAAAGACTTTTTGTCAGAATTGGAGAGGAATTCTTAAGCTGTCTCCACTTTGCAATGTTAATAACTAATAGAAAAGTTGAAATAGAAACTAGGAAATGTTTATAACATTCCTTTTCCTAGAGGATAAGTCTTTTGGTGCCAGAGCCATTTTCATTCTTTGCATGTATTTTCAGTAGGAATCCTAATTCCTAACCCCTCTTCCCTATATTAGATACCAAACCATAAAGATTAACCCTAGATTTTTTTTAGTGCATAGGTGATTTATAATTTTTTATAGTGGATATTACTAATTGTGAATAAATATTGCTAGATACAATGATACCCTCAAAGAGTATGAATCTAGTTTTCAAATTCCGTGTTTTCCTGATTATGAGATTTATGTTTTTATAG